CTATCTTTTAAAAGTAAAACAATATTATTAGCACTCAATGTACACATTGCAACCCAAGTCTTTCAGTCTGTCACCTTCCAATACGGGGTACAGTTTAATTCTTTTCCAAATGCCTTTACACAGATTGGTGTCAATTTCACAGCAACTACTAAGCTGCCGTGAAGTAGCACAAAACCAAGCATGTTACCTCAGCATTGTAGTCTAACTCAGTGAAGATCTCTGCTGAGCAATCTTATGCCATCATAAATGCCTTTTATTGAGCTGTTAAAGGAAGCCAGTTTCTCTGTTATGACATATACATGATAACAACCCATCATGATAGTCCTCCACTGTTCAAAGCAGGAGGAGTCCAAACTACAACTGGGATAAGCACTTTACCAGACTTAGATGATTCACTGACCATCTCCTCTGTAAATAGGAATGTAAGACTCAAATGGATAAAAATGCAATAAAAATAATTAAAGGAATGGGGGAATTTTCCTCTATAAACATAATACAAATCATTTCTGAAAACTTTCTCAAAAGAGCTACAAATTAAAGATATGGTTTTTGTTAATATTCTGTAATTTCTGAAGATGTACTTTACCTCTTTTTTTTAATTACATTAAATGTTTTGATCCATGTTCCATAGCTCCATCTGCTACAGTTGCTCATAATGGAGGTGACATTTATATTAGGTTTGAAAGAAGAAAACATATTAGAAATGGTAGCCTGACTGGTCTTTATATCCACTTCAAAGGCTGCACATAAAGTATAAAGATTATCCACATAACTATTGACAGAAACGATGAGAAAACAAGATGGTGCAGACGTGCACCAAACACGCCCTTACAAATGAGATAAAAATCAATCATATCTATCATTCAGCATTCCAAAAAGTTTAATACAAAGTGTGAAAAATGTACAAGAAGGCAGGAAAACTGTCACCCTATTCTGCACTTCTTAGTACTCCTCATCTAATTTCTCCTCTTTAACATAATCAATCTGCTTATTCTTCACACACAAAAGAAAACTGTTAACAACAGAAATACTACATACTTTGAATAATAAAAATTGTGGGCTTGTTTTTTTTTTCTTCTTTTCCTTTCAGAAGGGGTTTTGTAATCAGGTAACACAGGTCAGTGACTTTCTATGATGACAGGCTGTTTGGACATGTTACCAATATGACAGGATCATCCCATGGTGGAGGTGAAGCAACCAGTTAGCAATTACATAGATAGAATCTAAACTATTTAACTGACAAATCTAGTGATAACAAACAAACAAACAAACAAGCTCTCTCATCCCATACTTCTAGATTTGCTGGCTAATGTCCTCAAAGTCAATGTATTAAAAAGTATACAAGAGCTGAAAGAGAAACTGTGCTGGAGGAAAAGTGTTGAAAATAATTTTAAAACAAATGTTTTGATTAGGTGATGGATCCTGTAGTATCTTGGATAAACTGCTAAGTGTTTGAAAGCAAGTCATCTTCCACCAAACAGAGCATCAGCGTGTTCAGTGGACACTCGAGTATTTACAACACTAATGGGGTTCATCCTTTGCATCCAAATGCATCCATTTCCATTTTCTCTCTGCTTAAATTATTACTTTGTGTTAAAGTTCACTGCCAGATTGATAAATTTGGATACATTTACCCAGATGTAGAAGTAGGAGACATAACGAATAAAGAAGTGAACCTGGAGCCTTTAGCCATGCCTGTCTTTTAGGACCAGATTAACAGCAATTTCCTTCTATTCTCTTGTTCATGCTGGGCTGCACAACAGAGAAAAGAATGTGTAAAGCGATCATGAAAAAGATAAGAATTGGCAACAGCACAGGTCACCAACAAATAGAACAAATCATACTGTAAGATTTTGCTCTTTTGCTGTCATTTCTTCAGTGCCTAAGCTGAAGACAAAAATAGCAGAGAACACTAAATCAGGAACATCTCCACTTGGCAGAGTTTAGTAAAATACTCCTCACTCACATGGAAATATTTACAAGACAAAAGGATGGGATTTTTTCTTTTTCCAAGTAATAGTGAAATATGAAGATGAGTATTCCTTGGGATCATCATTACTCTTGTAGTTCTACGCTTACTCAGGAAACAACAAAAAATGGAACCAGCACTGTTCCAAATGGTCTAAACCAGAATTTCCTGTTGTTTTCTGATTTCAATGCCAAAAAGAAAACTCCACCTATTTTTTTTTTAATCTTTTCTTCTATTATCATACATACACAAAAAAAAAAAGAGTCTTCACAGACAGAGAGGTGCCTCTACCATGTTGTAACAAAGTAAGAGCCCAGTATATTTTTCCATGGAACACATATCATTTCTGCATGAATTTTAAATCTCGACTGATACTTGGTGTACCAAACCCTATATCAAGGCCCCTATAGTATGCAGGTTGTTAGCGACTCCAAGTCCTTCTAAGGAACTGTTCAGCAAAATTTTCCATCTGCAGACAGTCAGAGGTGGAAAGCAGCACACCTGGAACAAGGAAATGCTGGACTGCAGTTAATGGACTCCATTTGAATGAGTACAAAGGCAAGAAGAAGGAGAGATAAGGTGCAAATGAATACCTAGAAGTTCAGTACAGCCTCCCTGACAGAACTAGAATTAGGTCAAGGATAAAGCGAAGAGTTTACTTGGTACTACAGCAGTCTGGCAGCCATAGGCCTTATGACAGTTTTACCTGAGCTAGTATGGTGCAACACTTCAAGATCCTCCACCTAGCCCCAAAGCATTTATACATTTAGAGGTCTGTAACACTAAAACGCAATGGAGAGCACAGCAGTGACAGCAGGGTAGCAAAGTCCTAGGCTGCAGCAAGGATAAGTCCAAATACAGCAGTCATTGACACAGAAACAAAGGGGGAAAAAAAAAAATCTGCTTACCCTTGGAAGGTCTTAGGTAGACAGGGATACCTTAGGTACCTGCAAGATACCTGTACCACTACTGCAAATCTTAAGTGAGGTCTGGGATAGGGTGGATCCTGGTTGCACCCTTTCCACTCACTCAGTTGCATTACATCCACCTGAGCTCCCCTTCCCACTAGGTACTCAATCACTGGGTCAGGCTGCAACTTAGCATTTCCATGACACAAATCAAAGCATTTTGGAGAGAAAACCATAGCATATAGTACAGGCTGTTGAGCATTCTACATTTTTATATATCTTGTAAAGACATCTTGGCCAAGGACAGAGGCATCTGCTGGCTAAAAGGAGTCAAATCTTTTATACACATGGTTAAGCGCCTACCCCTGCAAAAATGTGCCAGTCTAACTATATTTTGTCTTGCAAGAGTGAAGATCACCTTAGCGTGACAGCGCCAACTGTTTTATCATTAGCTCCATTACCCCAGTGTCTTAGAAAGAGACACTCCTTCTGCAGTGATACTTGAAAATAGACACGCAAGAAGATTAACTTAATGCTTAGATAAGAAAATCCTTAATTGGAACCTGTTTCAGTGTTCGCATTTAGTGTTAATGTTCTCTGTAAACTGATTTTTCTGTTAAAATTCCTTACAATTAAATCTTTGCATTTCCTTTCACAAATAGGTTGACACTGTTGTGGCCGTGAATTCTGAGGGAAGAGTGAGCTACCATATTTTAATTTTATTTTATTTTGCGAAGAACACACAAAGGAAGAAGTGTGCTATGAGTCAATTCTCCAGACAGAAGTTGTAATGAAAGCAGTACAGTTCTTTCTTACAGCATTAAGGTTTTCCTCTTCCAGTACTGCAGGCACTGTCCATCATTGAAACCATCAACACTATAGACTCGTAACTCAAGACTAGCAGCCTTTAAAGTATGATTTGTAACAATTGCTCTTAGAAGAAAACTAAGAGGTGATGTCTGTAGGAATTAAACGTGGCAGTTTCTTTCCAAGATGAGGCTGAAGAGTTCTTTTAAAAATACAACTAAGAATTTTACCAGCCAGGGAGATCTGTATTTCATCATGCCAAGCACCACACAGTTCAGAAGTCTCTACTAGCAACTAATTTATGAAAAGGAGGAGAGAGAAGTAACTGATCAGTCAGAAGGGCTGTTCTATCCTAGGGAAAGTTAGAGAATAGAATTAATGCTTCTAATGCAATCTGAGTCAAATACAGTCATGCTGTCACAAATGAAGGCCACGCTAAGAAACAATAGCAGAGCCACTAATCAGTGTTATTTTTAAACACATGTTCTCAGTGAGTAAATTACTGTTTCTTTACTATGGACTTGTTATGACAAATCTGGGAGTCAGCTATTTTGCCTACATCACAGAATCACAGAATCACAGAATCACCCGGGTTGGAAGGGACCTCAAGGATCATGTAGTTCCAACCCCCCTGCCTAGCAGGGCCACCAAACACACACATTCAGATCAGGTTGCCCAGGACCCCGTCCAACCTGGCCTTGAACACGTCCAAGGACAGGGCATCCACAACCTCCCTGGGCAGCCCGTTCCAGGGCCTAACTACTCTCCTTGTGAAGAACTTCCCCCTAACATCCAACCTAAATCTTTCCTCCTTCAACTTGGATCCATTTCCCCTAGTCCTGCTGTTGTCAGCCCTTCTGAAGAGTTTACTCCCCTCCTGGGTGTAGGTTCCCTTCAGGTATTGATAGGCTGCAATGAGGTCGCCCCGCAGCCTTCTCTTCTCCAGGCTGAACAAGCCCAACTCCCTCAGCCTGTCCTCATAGGGGAGGTGCTCCAGCCCCCTGATCATCTTAGTCGCCCTCCTCTGGACCCTTTCCAAGATCTCTATGTCTTTCTTGTACTGAGGGCTCCACACATCAGTTGTTGTAATTTCACTACTTGATAAATAAATGAGAAAAGGAAAGAAAAAGGTTAAGAAATGTATCTCCAAACAGAGTAACAATTCATAGCTAATAGCTGCCCACCGGGAATAGGATTATGACATGTTACCAGAGTGAGACAAGGACTTTTCTATTTTGTGGGAGGGAGACAGAACACAATACATCTGTTTTTCACCAACATGCCATAAGACATGGAGTTTAAAAATTCTTTCTTACCTAATCCAGTTTCCTTCAGAATTTGCTGACTTTGCAGATACTGTAACAACAAAACACAAAAAGAGTAAAAGCATGACCGCCTTCAAGATACCTGAGATCTTTGGCATATCTCCAGCTGTTTCAAAGTAACTGGCTACCCAAACTAACAGCTGTTGACATACATGAACATTGTTGTATGCATCATAGTTCTGTTTCAAAGCTGGTTAATAATAAAAGAGAAAAAGTTGAAAAATTAAAGCTTGTAGTCCTTACCTGACATAGCTTCTGTTGGCCATATGCTGGACCCAGCAAAAGGTGCTCTCCCGCTGAGCAATAAACCTGGAATAGCTGAAGGCTGAATTATTAACAAGAACATGAGGAGATCTCAAGCACATGATGAATGAAACAGAAATTCAAAACTTACAGCCTGATTTAGTTTGTAAAGAGAACTTAGGAGAGTTTCCTGAATACCTCATTTACTCAGTTGATTTACTTCAAACAGGATGGAACATGGAAAGAAATGGGATGATGCTTTATTGCAATAAAGAGAACGATGAACACTGTCCTTCAAACCATCCTCATAACAACCTTTTATGGAGGGAATTTAACTAAAATGGAAACATCTGGCTCTTATGGTTGTGGTGTGATTTCCCATTCCCCTGGTCACCTCTCTTTTTAGTGATTAGCAGCTAGTGTACTTCCAACACTGTGTTGTGGCCTCCAGCTTTTTTCTACCTAAGATCATAGATGTGTTCTTCAAGCAACTGTAAGATGTACTGATACAGTCTCTAAGTTCATACAGTGTTTCAGGATAAAAACTGGGTCATCCAATTAACTCTGAATATGGCACAGCTGGAATGACATCTACGGATTTCTGGGCAAAGGCTGGAACTTCTTTAACATAACCTTGTGTCTTTTGATACTGCTGATAGCAATTAGAAAGTACCAACTAAAATAAGAAGCCTTGCCAGGATGAAAGGAAAAACTGTCATCAATTCTTCTTCTCAAGAGAATTTTCTAGTTCCTCTGTATTATGTTCTGTGGAATTCTTATTAATACTTGAATTGCTTTGCAGCACACATTAATGATTAGCACAGCATTCAGAAAATGACTTCATATTCAGACACTTCGTACTGTTCCACCGAAAGGCTACATTCCTAATTCTGGGGATGGGAGAGACAAGACTCATAAACATTAACATGGAAGTTGGAGATTTAGGCTGAAACTCACAACAATGAGAAAATAGTATGTGAATCCAGGAAATAGGCAACATTAAGTAAAAGGACATATCTGAAACTTTACACTAATTAATCAGTTCAGTGCCTCTGGGACTAAGAGCCTCAATTTGCCTTCTCCACTAGTATGCCTTATTCCTCATGAAGCAGCAGCCTAGCAAGAAAAATTTCATACTCCCTTGCCCTCTCTCCTGTGCCACCACCACAGGTGAAGTCTCAGCTGTGTCATTAGAGCTTCCTGCCTGCTGTAAAGCACTCAGAAGGGACAGCTCGTCTTTACCAAGGTGTTTTTCAGTTTTCTGGTGTGGCAAGTCAACCTAAAGCCCCTGCTTTTTTTAGTGCAGCATCTGGTTCATTCTGAGTTTTCTTTTTGCTGACACAAAAATCAATCACATCTTGTCACTCCTGACAAGACGCCCCTTCCCAATCCCACTTGACCAGACCTCTAAACAGGAGCACAGAACTCTGTGAAGGTGTGAAAACTGGAAAACTGGGCAGGAAAACTGGGAGGGAATCAATAGGAGACAGATTTAAAGTATTATTAGATGGTTGCTTCTTCTGCATTTCAACCTGCAGAGTATCCTCTGCTTGAACCAATCATTGGAACAGATGCTCTCCCCAGCTGCACACTGTCAATTCTTGTGTGATCATCCCCTTCACAGTGCACTTTCTGTGTTCTAGATTCTCCTGCTGCAACTCCCTTACCTTTCCCATCTCCTCTCACTATTTTAGGAGCTACAGGTCTGTATCAAACAGCACTGTGATAATCCACCACAGCAAATAAGTTCACGTATTTGATACCTCTTGTTAACACTAAGGCTCCATGCTTTTAGACTGCAATGCTTTAGACGTTACTGAAAACACCCACTCTGAACTTGCATCCTGGATGACTGCTGATACACTGCAGCTTGCTTATTCTCCCACAGTCCAGTTCAGTTTAATTTTATGAAAAGGAATCAACTACAAGAGAATAAAACCAGGACAGATCTTTCCTACTGAACAAAGAACTGACTGTTCCTGCAGGCACTGAGCATTCTCCTCTTCCCTTGAACAAATAAGCCAAAGTGCCTTTGTATTCTCTAACTCAACATTAGTGAAGTTCAGCAGTAGAAAAGGTTGGTAAAAAGTTTAGTGCTTTCTTGGGCCAGTTACGCTTGAGGTTTGTATGAGGCTTTTTCCCCCTTTCTCCTTTTCTCTTTCTAACACTTAGGTTCTTCCCTCACCTCACTTCCTGCTTTCTCATGTTTCCTTGGGTTGGATCACAGGAATTTACATCCATACCTGAAGAAAAAGGAAATCTGTAAGAACTAAGGAAAGAAAAGCTACAGCTACATGCAGTGCATTGCTGTGCTTTTTAGATGACAGCCTGGAACTAGGGTACTAGAAAAACAGCACCAGCCAAATTTTTTTTTAAGCTGAATATAAGCAAATGAATTTTCAGTATTCCAAAACACCTTCCTGAACACAAATGTTCTTTGAATATCCTCACAGCACTGTACAGTCTATGAGCACTTTGTTCATTATTCTCTTCTCCATCACTTCCTCTAGCAGAAGACTGGCAAATACAGTAACTTCTGTTTTTGCAACACAGACCATTTCCTTAGAAAAAGTTTTGCACTCAGGAGTCTTTTGTTGTCCTCCAGCCATTAGCATGCAAGAGTCATTGTCTTTGTCCAGTGAACTTTTTATTCTGAATGCATTTGGCAGAAACACTGCAAAATTGGTCCTGGCAGGTTTTAAAGCAGCCAAACAGCCACTACTTGCTATATCTCTCATCCCTGTACTCACAAAGCCAATAATACAGGTATGTTTCTTCTAACCAAAGATTTTGAGTGGTACTGGAGAAATAATTTATTGTGCACGTAGCTGGGCAGCAAACAATTCTGAGAGGGGGGATCACACAGCTGTCCTCACTCTCCACACACACCTGTGTATTGCTGCAGACAACCCTCCTGCAGGTGCTTAACCACAGAGCACCAAATGCAGCAAATGTCCGCACAATGGGTGAAAAAGCTCATATTTGCTGTTTCCAAACTAATCTATTTGCACTTAAACTGACCTTCAATTTGAAAAGGGTCTGAACTGGCTTTTGGCATCCTATGATCAGCTCACCTGCTATCAGTACTGCTACATGAAAGTATCAACCCAGGGGCAAAAGAGCTCTGCTTGGTTCAGGTCACATTTTCATTTCTGAACAGAACTTAGGTGAACACTTCTACTTTCACTTTATGTGCTACAGTGTCAATAATCTGCATCAACCCAGATAAACACCAGATAAAAGGACATCGCTTTAGGAAAATAAATGCATTGTAGTTTGAAATCATGCATCAAGAATTGAGTGAAGTTAATTTGAGGGTACAAAAGGGGTCTAAAAGGAATTTGACATATTTTTGGGAAAACATTTTCCACAGAATTTGACTATGGGCTGAGACAGAAGCAATTCACTGCCTTGGCAAGAAAGAAACTGCCGTAACTGCAGCTGGATTGCTGACACTGGGCCAGCATTATGCATTTGCACTAACAGGAATTTTCACACAGGAACAGAGTTTCGTACTTAACTGTTTCAAAGTACCTCAAAGCAAAACACCAAGCCTGGGTTTTCATTGCACAGTGATACAGGAATTTTAGAGCACAGATTTCAATAAGAATTAAAAACAAACAAACAAACAAAAAAAAAAAAACCACCAGGTTTTAAATATAAAAACTAAGAAATATTTTATATTTGCAAAGAAACGGAATGCACTGCTTTAGAGAAGTAACTAGAAGGACACTCTAAGTTCGCCTCCTCTCCGGCCGCTTGCAGCATTAAGCACAGCTGTTACCTTCCAGAAAACGTAATGCCTGCGTACGTTCCCCTGCCGCAGTGGACTTCTCAGAGTATCGGGGAAACCCTGGCGCCGCCGGCCGCCCCGGCGTTACCTCGGAGAGGGGAGCCTCCCCCCCACTCGCCGCGCCAACGAGCCTCCGGTCAAACGCACGCCGCCATTTCGGGGCTGCGCTTCGCGGAGGTGCGGCGACGGGCGAGGGCGGCCTCGCGGAGCCGGGCAGTGGCTGCACGGAGCATCGCTCCGCCGAGACCAGACGCGGTGGCGCGCGACGTTACCTCAGAGCTCAGTGCAGGAAAGAGCTGGGCTCTGAAGGAAGGTCGATTAAAGCCATAAACCAAGGGTGAGATTTAGTGAGATCTTAAAGGGGTGGTGAGAAGCAAGAAATACAATTAGTGCATACGTGTGCATAATTGGTATTACGTTGCTTTCACTGAGATTTACTGACCACCTTAATGGGCTTTATATCTTCTGCACGGAGACAGCACGGTTATCTGAGAGCGCAGGTCAGTCTGCGCTATGAGAATTCTGTCCTGGAGCAAAATAAATGCTTTATAAAGCACTTCTCCCCTTTTCGGAATGTTTTTCTGGTAGGACCCCCCCCATCTTTGAGTTCTGTATTTGTATTTCATCTGTATTTGGACTAATACGGAACAAAATCTTCAGGTTGTTTCTGGTTGCTTGATTAGGAGAAATTCAGATGGGTATTTCTCTGATAAACTTCTGTTTAACAAAAAAAGGGAAGAAGGGGGAGCAAAAAGAGCAAAAAGCCCATAGAAACAAATAAGAGGCTCTTCCCTTTCTCAGTGTGCCGTGCTTTTCCCAGCGTCACATCACCAGGGCTCCTGCTCCGCTTTCCCTAGCACTCTCAGGATAAGCACTGTGCCAGCTTGTTGTGAACACACTCTGCTTCTTCCACAGGGTTTTTAATTTTATCTCTCTCAAATGTGTTCAGACCCATAAAATGAGCAGACCTATTTTTATAGTCAGAAACATGAAGTTCAGCTCTGCCTTCCCCAGGCTGAGGTTTAGGGTTCTGTGTTTAAAATGACAAAAACTAGTACTCCAATTGAATGAGGTACAAATAAAGAGCAGCTACTATCTTCATGAGCTTCATTCAGGTCCAACTCCCTCCATCCACAGCATCAGCTCTGATCTAATAATTTTTTTTAAACTAAGAAATAGTCTGTAACTAATCATAGAATGGCCAGTGTTGGAATGGACCTCAAGGATCATGAATCTCCAACCCCCCTGCCACATGCAGGGCCACCATTTAATACTAGACCAGGCTGCCCAGGGCCCTATCCATCTGACCTTGAACACCTCCAGGGACGGGGCATTCGCAACCTCTCTGGGCAGCCTGTTCCAGCACCACTCTCTGTGTAAAGAATTTCCCCCTGACATCCAACCTAAATCTCCCCTCCTCAACTTAAAACCATTTCCCCTCGTCCTGCAGTTATCAACCCTTTCAAAGAGTTGATTCCACTCCTCTTTGTAGGCTCCCTTTAGGTATTAAAAGGCTGCAATGAGGCCCCCCCACAGCCTTCTTTTCTCCAGGCTGAACAAGCCCAGCTCCCTCAGCCTGTCTTCATAGGGGAGGTGCTCCAGTCCCATGATCATCTTTGTGGCCCTCCTCTGGACCCTCTCCAACAGCTCCCTGTCTTTTTTGTATTGGGGGCTCCAGACCTGGACGCAGTATTCCAGATGGGGCCTCACAAGAGCAGAGTAGAGAGGGACAATCACCTCCCTATCCCTGCTGGCCACCCCTCTTTTGATGGAGCCCAGGATACCATTTGCCTTCCAAGCCGCAACTGCTGGCTCATGTTAAGTTTTTCATCCATCAGACCCCCAGGTCCTTCTCCACAGGGCTGCTCTCAAGGACCGCTCCTTCCAGTCTGTATGGATGTCTGGGATTCCTCCAGCCCAAGTGCAAAACTCTGCACTTTGCCATGTTGGACCTCATCAGGTTCACCCGAGCCCACCTTTCTAGCCTGTCGAGGTCCCTCTGAATGGCATCCCTTGCTTCAACCGTGTCAACCGCATCACTCAGCTTGGTGTCGTCAGCAAACTTGCTGAGGGTGCATTTGATTCTGTCATCAACGTCACTGAGAAAGATGTTAAAGAGCACCGGTCAGAAGGCAGACCCCTGGGGGATGCGGCTTGTTACCAGCCTCCACCTGGACATAGAGCCATTGATGACCACCCTCTGTCTGCTGCCTTTTGACCAGTTTCTTGCCCATCCAGTGGTCCACCCATCAAATCCTCATCCCTCCAATTTGGAGACAAGGATGTGGTGGGGGACTGTGTCAGAGGCCTTGCTCGAGTCCAGGTAAACGACATCGGTCGCCTTTCCCTTGTCCACCAATGCCGTCAGTCCATTATAGAAGGCCACCAGATCGGTCAAGCATGACCTTTCCGTGGTGAAGCCGTGCTGGCTGTCTTGGATCACACGCCCATTCCTCATGTGATTAAGCATACTATCCAGGATGATCTGTTCCATGATCTTCCAAGGCACAGAGGTGAGACTCACCAGCCTGTAGTTCCTGGAGTCCTCCTTGCTCCCTTTCTTGTAAATGGAAGGGACGTGACCCTTCCTCCAGCCATCCGGGATCTCACCTTACAGCCACAACTTTTTAAATATGATGCAGAGTGGCTCAGCAACCACCTCAGCCAGCTCCTTCAGAACCCTGGGATGCACGCCATCTGGCCCCATAGACTTGTACATATTCAGTCTCATGACTTGTACACATTCAGTCTTATGAGAACTCATAATGTTCATAATAATAATAATAATAATAAAAAGAGGGCTTTGTATCCATATAATTCTTCATAATTATTTGAGTTGCAAACTGTAAAGACTAATTCTTCCTCTGCACTTTTCTCCATTACCGCACTTTTTTTTCTTTTTAAACAAAGCTGCAATTCCTAACAGTGAATTATCATCATTCTGACCAAAGTGCAGTATTTTTCTTAAACCTCTCTCTTAATTACTGGATTCTGTGCTTTGTAATCCTATGCAAACACATTTTTCTTGCATCCACGCTTTAGTAAACTACTTCAAAATAATCTTTCAGTAAAAGTAAAGCAACTGAAAGATCTAAACCAAGATTTAGATATTCGGTAAAGAATGTTGATTATCAGCATTTTCTCTGAATTCAGCCCATCATGACATTAGCAAGAAACTGAGGTGAACTGGCAGTTTTGCTGAGCAATATTCCTTTCCATATTACTGCTGTTTTGCTGAATTATTATACATTAGTGTATACAAAGCCTTCTTCACAAGCCATTTTCTCTATTCACACTTGTAAAAATTCCATAGTATAGGATTATATAAATTGTATAATA